AATGAGGAAAATAAGAGGGTTCAAGCTTCCATCTTTCATTATGAAAAGAATACATGCTTGATACTAAACATAGACAAGGGCAGTATGAGAAAAGAAAGATGCAGAATAATTCCCCTGTGAGTTTTAGAGCTTCAGTCTTGCTAATTTATGTGGATAAGAAAACACAGTCATCTCAAGACACTTAGAAAAAACATTTGATAAAAGATGACACACATTTACGGTTTTCTAAAAAATATTTTTGAGCTTGCTGAACTTGATAAGGAACATCTGCCAAGAAACTAGAGCAAAGTGTAGAAGTACTTTCTTTAAAGAAAAATAGATTCCTGTCACCACTATTTCTATTTAACAATCTATTTGAGGTCCAAGGAAAACAGAAAAAAAAAAACCAAAAACAAAAAAAAAACAGGCAATATGACTGGAATGAGAGAAATAAAACTATCATTATATAGGTTATATCATGCTATGCACACAATAAAGTAATTGAAATTTAAAAGTTCACTAATTTTAGAAGCTGAAAATATCTGATTTGATGATTAAGAGGAGGAAGAACTAAAGAGGACATCTGTTTTTCCAGATTGGAAAACTATGTTACTCCGTACCATTAATTTACATTGCTAATTCTGGAGGAAAGTGAACCCAAAGTTAGGGTAGAGCCAGACCAAGTATGTGGTTTCCTGGGGAATTAATTTATCTATAAGATGCCATTAAAAAAATCACAAGAAGTTTAAGAAGATGGAACAAAGTATTTTTATCATAACTTCTATTAAAGCAATCAGTACATGTACTACAAGGTTTCCTCTGAAGAGCACGAGAGATGAGATCAAGGTTTTCTTCTCCTCACAGGCATACACAGGTAAAGGTGGCAGCTTTCTGAATGATTTCTAAGAAAGGAGGTCTGACCCAGCCATACAAGTTGTGTTTCCCTAATGGGATTCCCAGGTTTGAAGCCACGCTGACTTGGTCAGGAAAAAGAGAGGCTGGGTTTGCGGATCAGTAACAATTCATTCTCTGCTTTTCCCTCATTAGTCTCAGCCTCTATTCTAAATAAACAGTGAAAAAGAGGAGTGGCAAACTGTTCCCTAGCTTTGGGCCTACAGGTCAGTCTCTTCCTGGGTACGGGAAGCCAGTGGGGTCAGTGCATTATGCATCAATGAGTTCTGAAGATTTCAAGTAGATAGGTATACGCACGTGTATCTGGAACTCGGAATTCCATATCTGAGAGCTAGCAGTATATGGAGAAAACCTGAAACCATAGGCATGGGTGGACCAGGTAGAAATGTCAAGAGCAAAATGAGAAGAGAGGAGCCCCAAGAATGGGAAGCTGAAGAAGCAATGCTCAGCACAAGTGGTGTATCAGTAGCACCTATTTTCTGGTGCTAGTGATACAATAGCACGCACTGGGTGAGTTATAAAGAAAAGAGTTGTTTGTTGGCTCAAGCTTAGAGGACTAAGGTCAAGGGGTGATGGTCTTCTTGCTAGCAGAGTCCCAAGGGGAGGCAGGACAGCATGTGGCAAGGGACAGGGAGTGTGCATCTATATGTATGCTCTAGTCTCTCTCCGTCTTCTTAAAAAAGTCACCAGCATTCAATTATAAGGACTCCACCCTGACGACCTTATCGGACCGATTCTACTCAACCCCCAAAGGCCCCACCTGTAAACATCACATTCAGATTAAGTTTCCACCCTCTTACTACCTCACAATGGAGATTAAACTCAGGGTCTCAGAGGGGTCAAAGCATATTCAAACCATAACAGGTGGCCAAGGTGGAGGAAGAAAACTATGACAATATCTTATCAGATCCCAGGAAGAGAGAACACACTGAAGAAGAAATTTGCAACAATGACAAATATTAGCAGAGTGAAAAGTTCTTGCTATCCAAGTCACATAGGCCATTTCATCAAATTTAATCTATTCTTATTAAGGTGGTGGTGGTGGTGGTGGTGGTGGTGGTGTGTGTGTGTGTGTGTGTGTGTGTGTGTGTTGCTGGGAATCAAACCCAGGGCCTTGTGTATGCGAGGCAAGAATGCTACCACTGAGCCCCAGCCCCAGCCCATAAAGTGGTGATTTTCAAAGCTGTAAGATTTCACCCTGAAAAATTCATTCAGTAATCATTTATTCTAGCCATTTTAGCAAAGACTGTGTGCATAGACTCAATATATAAAGTTTCCTTTCCTTACTCACTTAATCTCCTAAACCATCTGGACTCGGTATTCTATTTCTACGTCCATGAAGGTCAAATAGTTTTTCTGATAGTGTGACCTTCAGTTTCCTGTACTATTTCCCCCCAGGGTTTTAGAGCCATTAAAAACACAGAAAGAATTCATGTGTTAATTCTTTT